TTTTTTTGCTAAGTAGTAGGTCTCAACAGAAGGTTTAAAATATTCAGTAAACTGGGCTGGGGATTTAGTTCAGTGGCACCATGCCTGCCTTGCAAGTGCAAGGTTCTGAGTTTGATCCCCGGTACCAAAAAAAACAACAAACAAAAAATATTCAGTAAACCATATTGTAAACAGATGTATGTCATCCAGGTTTTGTTGTTCCATTTATAGAGCACAAACAGAGTAGATTTACTATCATTCTTAAGGGCCCCAGGATTGTCAGGATGGCAAATGAGCATAACATAGAATTTATCGTCTTAACATTTTCTAAGTGTATTCAGTAGGTAAGCTTTGGATCATAGTATTTGTAATCTCTTCTGTCTGTCTCATTAGCTTCAAAGTTCTGTTGTCTAAAGAAACCATTATTTTGATTGACAAGATTAATATCACAGTTGAGACCACAGCTTACTGTGGAATAAGTGGCTCATTGATATCCTTCCTTTTCCTACCCCCTACCAGGCACCTGTCTAGTAGAATGATTCTATTTACTGTAATAAAGAAAGGATTACACAGTGAAAATTGTTTGCTTCCAACCATTTCCAGCAGTTGCTTGTCAACATTGAGGTCATCGGAAGCTGCAGGAACAAGAATTAATGTGCTGTTTTTGTTGTTCTCTTTAGTGATGTAAACACTGTTTTTCTCTGCTATTTAGCTAATTGGCCTCACTCCCGACTTCACTACCCATAATTGGTGACTATGTGCTATAGAAGTATTGTTTTCTTTTGTGACTATTTGTGAGTCCTTAAGAGGCCACCATGGGCTCCAGCTGGTTGCTGGCCTGTCATATATCTTTGAACTAGTTACTTAATTCTCTGAGTTACAGTGTCTTCTAGCAGTCTAAACCAGACAATCTTGAAAAATTTCTCCTGTTCTCTACTTCTGTGGTCCTTTAAGAAATAAATGGAAGCCAGGCATGGTAGCACATGCCTGTAATACCAGTACTCTGGGAGGTTGAGGAAGGAGGATTGCAAGTTTGAGCCCAGGCTGGGCAACTTAGTGACTTAGCAAAACCTTATCTCAAAATAAAAAAATTAAAAAGCCCTGGGATATAGCTCAGTGTGAAGTCCCTGGATTGAATCCCCAAGTACCAAAAATAAAAAAGAGAGAGAAAAAAAGAAATAGTTGGAGGATTCAGCCCATTTCATTATCTGTTTGACTCAGACTGTAACAACAACAATAATAAAAAAGGCTTTGAGAGTTATTTTTGCATATGTTTTTACCAAGCCAATCCCTGTTATTGTAAGGCTTTTTCTCTTATAAAATAGTTACCATTCTTTTTTCTCAGCTTTTTGTCCGCTGCTGCCTATGACCTGTTAATCATGTGGCATTTTCCTGCCAGCTCTGTACTCTTTCTGCTGTCCACTGATAAAAACAAAATTGCGAGCAGTGCTGGGTTTGTGGGTATTTGAACTGGATAGTTGCACAAACCTTTTAGAAGGGCACATACTTGGCTCCAATAAAGCCACCTTGAAATTCATAATTTTAAACAAGGTATTGATTTGACATTAGGTCCAGTAAATTATATACAGTAATTGGTCCTCCTGAAGAATCTTTAGAAAATACCATGTCCTTATTTTTATTACCAATTCCAGGAAAATACATATACATGCGCACACACACACACATATGCGCAGGCGCGTTTGTACTTGGAAATAAAATGAACATTATATTATACTTAAGAATAAAGTATTGGCTGGGGATTTAGCTCAGTGGTTTCACCGCCTGCCTTGCAAGCGCAAGGTCCCGAGTTTGATCCCTGATACCAGAAAGAAAAAAAAAGAATAAAGTATTAAGACCAGTCAAATTTCTCCTCTTTGGGAATAGGTGACTATGTCTTTGCTACAGATCTTCTGAAGGGGAGAACTGAGGACCTGAAGCCAGACCCTTATCTCCGAAAGAGTCCTTCACTGGAGTCACTGAGCAGACCCCCCTCCCTGGGCTTTGGGAGCACCAGACTACTGAGTGCCTCCACTGGGGGGTTGAAACCACCAAGCAAACTCAGGTACCATGTTTTAAACAGTGAGAAATCAGAAAAATATTGGGTTGATAACCTTTTGCTTTTACTTCTGTTTTGTCTCCCAGGTCAATTTATTTCTACAAATATTTCCTGAATAAAAATGATTAAGATACAGTACTAGCCAGGTACAGTGGCACACATGTACTCAAATCCCAGCTACTCAAACAGCAGAGGCAGAAGGATTGCAGGTTCAAGGCCAGCCTAGTCAATTTAGCAAGACCTAGTCTCAGAAAAGAATGTAGCTATAGCTCACAAATAGTCACAAAAGAAAACAATACTTCTGTAGCTGGGGATGTAGCTCAATGGTAGTGTGTCTAGGCTCAATCCTCAGTACTGAAAAAAAAAAAGATACAATACTTGCTTTCATAGTAATTGTGCAAAGTGGAATGAAAGACTACTTAAAAATATATATGTATGTATGTATGTATATATGCACGCAAAGTCCTTGGGGGTTGTTAATTGGCTGGAGTTGTAAAGTTGCCATCATGATCAAGCTGTAGAACTAGACCCTAGGCTTCCTGGGGGCTAGGACCCTGCCAAAGCACACAGTAGGCTCTCAGTCAGTACGGGTTGGGTAGATGAATATATGATTAGGCTGTTAGAGCTGGAAAGGCAGCCTGGGACCCTGTTGCAAATAGTCTTCATTGCCAGTGAAGAGGTTCATACTTATTTTGGTAAAGCAGTGGGGAACCGCTAAGTCTGTGGGATTTTGTTTTTGTTTTTCAGTAGCAGTTAAGATCAGACCTACTCTTTAAAAAAGATTAATCAGAACACAGTGGGATATGAAGAGGATTAGGGAGGGAGTTTTGAGATTAGTGTTTACAGGGATTTTAGCAAGGATGTGAAGGAGGCAGTAGGAGAGGGAGAGAACAGTGAGGTAGGCACAAATCTGTCTTTGCTCCCATATCTTTGCCACCTCCTCCTTTTCAGTATGTGTGTTCACCCAGGCCCCAGTAAACTTCTTTCAGCTGTTTCCTTTTTCCTCTGTGTTTTCCCTGCTTCTCTATGTTGAATGGTCTCCTGAGCCACTATGAGCATCCTCCTTGCAGACCTCTCACAAACCTCTTGTGACTCTGTCATCCATACTCCTTATCCCGGTCTTCCAGCTGTGCCACAACTTGGCACCACCCACACTCACCTGCCAGAATGACCCAACCCTTCACTCCATCCAAGCCTATCTTACTCTCTGCCTTTGAGATATAATATGAGCATTTCTGATTGCAGGAATTTGTTTATAAAGTTCCAGGTTGAATTGCCTTTCTTTTTGTCCTTTCACACTTATAAATGCTGCCTCTCCTGGCTCAAACCTTCCATGAAGTTTGTACTAACCACCATGATAGTACCAACATAACCCTTCTCTGACTTATTTTCACTTGAGTCTTATAATTCCTATGCTACTGTGTAGTGTGTCTGATTTTCATAGTCCATGCCCTTGTCCCAAGAAAGGTTATAATTTAGTGGATAATAAATATTTTGTCTTACATTTTGTTATCTTTCATCCACCCTTGTCTGTGCTCCACACATAGCATTTTATTCACTACTTATGAATGGGTAGATAAATACACAAAGCTGGCTACATTACAAGTAAGAACTTCATAATAAATACTATAATTATCAACATGAGTATTATAAAACAATTTATGAAAGTCTGAGTAAGTTCACATCTTGTATTTTTGGGTGTAACCTACATTTGGACCCAAATAGATGAAGTCATGTGTTTCAAGGGTTGAGTATAAACTCCCTGGTATTGTATATCATCTTGTTTATTTGCAGATCTCCATAATTAAAACAGGTTTTTAGGACCAGAGTTAGTACAATTCTCAGATGGTACCAGAAATTCCTACAAAAGACTACATATATTAGTATGCTGTATATTACCTTTCATCATGAAAAGTTGTTAATGAAATTAATTTATTTCAATTTTACATGTCACTGAGATTAACCCATGGCAGGATAAAAATGACTTACTTAGAAGTTCCTGACCTGCACATAGTGGTGCACAGCTGTAATCCCTGCACCTGGGAGACCAAGGTAGGAGGCCAGGTCTGTGCTACATAGTGAGTTCAAGGCCAGCCTGAACCACATAGCAAGACCTTGTCTCAAAAAAAGCCACACACACAAAGAAGTTCCTGGTCTGCATTATTGAATTTGGAGGGGGAGGAAATCATACTTTCAAGAAAAAATATTTGGTGAATGCCTCTTTTATTCATGCAGAAAATCTTTCATTTCAGTCCTCTATAATTTTTCAGGTATAGTACCTGGGTTCTAAGGGATGACATAAGGCCAATCGTGGTCACCAGGTGTTTGTAGTTAACAGCAACTCTAACCAAATAAACTCATAAAAAGTGACTTTACAGATCTGCCAGGTATATGGAAGAACAGTCATCAAATTGTACAAGGAAAACTTAAATTCATGTTTGAACTGCTTTTCTTAAAATCCTTCTACCTAGTTCATATTGCTGAAGTCTAGAATCATCTTATTTCTCTTTCTAAAATCATTTAAAATACTTCTATTAAATATTGAATGGATACTTTAGGGAAGTTTAAACTTTTCCTATGAAGTTTGTTAATCTTAGTGTATGAAAAAATTAGCAGTAAATTAACTAGAAAAGTATATAACATCTATTAGCATTGCAGAAATATGAAAGCCAGACACAATGTACACAACTCAAAGAGAAGGCCACCTATCTGAAGATTAAATACTCTCTTCATAGCAGGTAGGGCAGTGAAGATGTAAGCAGTTTTAGAGGAATATTCTGTTATTTTTCAGGCAGATAAATGGGCCCAGAAGAACAGACTGGTTTGGGGCAGAGATCCTCTGAGTCTAGACATGTTGTTTGACTCAGTCTTTTCTAGCTAACAAAATTAGAGTCAGAAGAATGAAGGCTGCTGTGTTTGTTTCTTGGTAGATCTAGTCAGATAGAAAAGAATACTTTATAGAAAGCCTGTCCCTGTGCTGAGAGAGGAAGAAACAAGAAATAGTCAGAGGGCTCTTAACGTTCATCAGCTTTCTGTCACTATAACAAATATGTGAGATGAGCAACTTACAAAAGAGATTTATTTGGGTTCACAGTTATTGAGGTTCCAGTCCATGATCAGTTGACCCTGTAGCTTTGGGCTTATGGCAAGGCAGCACATCAGGGCCAGAATAAAACTGCTTAACTCAGGGCCAAGAAGCAAAAAAGAGAGCAAAGAGTGGTCCACAATTCCCTTTAAGGGCTTGACCCCAATGATCTAAAGGCCTCCCATTAGACTGCACCTCTTAAAGGTTTCATCTCCTCCCAATGGTGCCATTCTAAGGATTGAGCCTTTAATATGTGGGCCTTTGGGGGTACATTCCTGATCCAAACTCTGGCAGACCCTAAATCTAAAACAACTTCTAAGGCCTCTCATGTCAAAGCACCAGCCTGTGGGATCTCTTTCTGAGCCCCAGTAATACCAAAAAAAATTAATATTTGGAAGACATAAAGAATAACTAGACAATGGAGATCCACCTCTGCCTACCTCCTAATTTAAGAAAAAGAAAAATTTGAAATTTCTTCTCAGACCCTTTCTTATTTGTCTTACCTCACTGCCCTCTTCAGGGTAACCACCATTGTATATTTAGTGTTTATCTTTCCTTGCTTTTTTTTTTTTTTTGATACATTACCACACATTTGCGTCCCAAAACAATATAAAAATTATATTATTGCATATTTGAATTTTGCATCCATGGAAACATTGCATTTTTTTCATTCAAAATTGTTCCTGCATGTATCTGTAGTTTATTGATTTTTCTTGCTGTAAAGTATGATTGTATCACAGCTTATATAGGCATTTGCCTATTGCTATAAATTGGGGTGTTTTTAATTTTTTTTCACTATTCCTATTATAGAGAGTTTTGCCATGAACATTCTTGTATCTGTATCCTGATGATATCTATCCTAGGAGTAAACCCAATTACTCTGACACAATTGCCTACTACAGTGAATGCTCCAGAATGCTCCTTTGTAATCTGTTTTCCTGGGGTCAGCCACTTTCTTTTCTAATACTGTGGTACATGATATTTAGGAAATAGAGTACTGTACAAAAATCCCATAGTACTGGGCAAATAAGGTACTATATAAAAATCCTATAGGAATATAGTTCTGATTTAATGATATTAATAATGGAACTATGTGATCTTACATCTCTTTTTAACATTTGAATATTTTGGCTACCATAAAAATTAATGCCAATATTCACAGAAAATTGTGCTTGGGGCACTTACACTCTTGTTCTTGAGATGCTGATGTTTAGTAAAGTCACCTCAACTTTGGCTAAGTTAGGTGCTCAGAGCTGCGTTAATGTTCCACAAATTAAGGAAAATAAGTATCCCTTGTATGCAAAGCCCCTCTTTTTGAACCATTTTATTTATTTTGCTGATTTCCCCTTCTTTTTACTCCCATTGCCTCTCATAACCAACCAATTTTAGTATTTTTAGTATTACCTTCCCATCTAGCTCTTCATGTTACCTAGAAATAGGTGTAGCCTTGAGACATGTAGTGTGGTTTTCCTGTAGATTTTTTAAATTCAAATGATACTGTGCTTCACTAAACAAATAAAAGCCTGGCTGGCTGGATTTTAAAACAAAACAAAACTTCCTAAACTGTATCCAGAAGCACAATTTAGATTTTCTTTTACCACATGAGATAATTTAATTATTATTAATGTTACTAACTTGGTTGTTTCATTAGTCTCTCTGAATAAAGCTAGGCTTTTGCATTTGGTAAGCTAGATATTTATTTTTATATATTTGAGGTTTCCAATATCTTCTCCTTACTATGTATTCTTCTTTCTAACCAGTGTGGAAAGAAGAGACCCTCTGGCAGCCTTAGCCCGGGAATATGGTGGCTCCAAACGCAATGCACTACTGAAATGGTGCCAGAAGAAGACAGAAGGTTATGCGGTAAGGGAGGGTGCAGCAGGTGGGATGGTAGTGGTCCTGTGTCAGGACATGTTCCAGGTGTATTTGTGCTTGGTGATCCAATTCACATATAATTGTTATCTTTCTATTCTCCTAGAAGGGCTGCCAGGGAGGGTTTTGTATTTGTGCACTGCACAGAGGCCCCCAGATGAGGCAAATGGGGCTAAAAGGTGGTCTGCATACAGCCTACAAGCCATATCCCACAGTGCAGAATGATAACTCTTATAGGAAAGAGACCCCTTTTCTTTGCTCATTAGGAGGCATAAACTGTCCAAGCACTGTCCCCAGTAGGCTGCTTCAACCTCGAGACAGCTTTTGCTAAGTCATTCTCTCCAAAAAGGGCACCTTTTCCTAATCACACAAAGGCCCTAAGAGGCTGGCTCCCAAAATTTTTACTAAAATTTTCCTTCTATGGCTTTAAGAGTTGTTTGCCCTTAGAGTTTTGGTTCAATATTTGTGTCTGGTTTAGGAGGACAGTATTTTTTTTGTAAAGATTAGACAAAGGAGCAGTACCTGAAGTAGGTTTAAGCCTTTTTATTATAAAACACCATACCCAAAGATGAAAGTGCATGAAATATAAATTAGAAGTTCATGAATTATTATGAGGTGAAATCTCATCTCGAAACAGAGCATTGCCAGTCCTCACAAAACTTTCATATTACTCTCCAACCATGACCTTTCACTACTGCATGAGATGCCTGTTGACCTCAATGCTTTTTATTTCAGTTATTTATGAAAGTATATGTTCCCAAATATACAGTGTTAATTTTGTTGACACCTATATTTTATATGAATGGAATAAAAAAGCTATGTAATATTTGGGCCTAACTTTTTCACATAGTATTATAGTAAAACTTATACATTTTGTTACAAACAGCTGTAACTTATTTTCTTTACCATTTAGTAAACTGTTGTATGATCATATTATTATTTATCTACTATATTGTTCATGAATAGTTGAGTCATTTCTAGTGTGGGGCTATTTTAAATAGTGCTGGTGTGCCAGAATGCATATATTCTTGTCCCTGTTTGATATATACCTAGAAATGGAATCCTAGACCACATGGTATACTAGACAGTGCCAGATTTGTGAAGTAGTTGCATAATAAGTGTCCCACTGGCAATTTGTGAGAGATCTTATTCTCTACATTCTCACCAACACTTGGTATTGTTGGTCTTCCTCACTAACTCATTTGGGTGAATGTGTAGTGGTGTATTATTGTGGTATACTTTTTTTTTTCTGCTAATTGGTATGAGGTTAATTACTTTTCTTTAAAATTAATTTTATTGTTACATTTTAGGTATACAATATAATGGTATTCATCATTGGAAATTTGCACCTTTACAATCCCCATTACCCTGCCCTCCCTATTTACAAAGACTTTGTTTCCATTTTTTCATTTCCTCATATTAATTCCATTCCCTTCTTTCCTTTCCCCTCTTCTTCCTATTTCACATTATCTATTATACCTTTTAGTCCGTATTTACACTTTCATTTTCTCACACTAGAGAAACTATTCAGTATTTACACGTGTGTCCTATTTATTTCACTGAAGAGTATCGCCTGAATGTGCATCCCTTTAGCTATAAATGTCTCTAATTTCTCATTTTTTATGGCTGAGTAGTACTCCATTTTATAAAAGAACCACATTTTCTTTATCCAGTCTC